TGTCCTTTCTGTAGGGCCTCACCCTGCATGCAGGTTCAGTCTTGGCTGACAGTTTTTATGAGTTAAAGGCAAAAGGACAATTAAAGGTTGTCCTGGGCCTTGATGAATTAGCACTGTGGAAACTGCAAGTGAACCAAGATCTGAATCTTCTCTGCAGCTTTTACCTCTGAATCTTCTCCATAGTTTTTCCCTCTCTACAGTTCTGGCTTGTGGATACAATATTTAAAAGACAGGTTGTGAATATAAAGACTGATGAGCTCTTCAGGCAGACATAATTGTGCAAGTGGAGGTAGCCACTTGGGCTACATCTATACATGTACATTAAAGGTTTGTAGGAACACTCATTGGTACCAAGGTGAAGTGCTGTGGATCAGCCTATGTCCACATGGATAAATTCCCATAATCTCCAAGACTGATGGTCGTGTACAAGCTATCAGCTGAGGAAGGTCCCCAGCCTGTGTTTACAACTGAACTGCCCCAGGAACTCTTCATCAGGGTCTGAGTCCAAAAACACATTAGAAGCCCTCTTAACTCTGTGACAATGCTGACCTGTCTCCCTGGCATTATTTAATTTTCTTGGGCAAATGAAACACTGGAGACCCTGAAGATCAGGGCAAGGTACCTGACGGGCTTGTGTGTAGAAAACCTAGGTGGCTGTCAGGATGTCTGTGGCCCTGCCTTCATTCCTTCAAAAGCTTATTCCAGCATGGCTGGGCTGAACCTTAGCCAGCCAAGAAACAGTGGCTTTTCTTGCTGGAAGAAAGATCTGGGCCCTTGGTGTTTGGTGGGGAGCTGAGAAGCTGGCAGCAAGAGCAGTGAAGAACACTGCCTTGGGAAGGGAGCTCAGCCAGGGCTGGCTGGGACCCTGGGACAGCCACACTCCTTCCCATCTTAGTTTTTCCCTCTCTTTTGCAACAGACTGCTCTTGTGACCAGTTTGGGAAAAGGATTAAGGAAATACTAAAGTTGTATTTACAACCTTGCACAGGACTGGAGTTGCAGTGTCAGGAAGGAAGAGCACCTTCCATGCAAACAGCTTTTTCTCAGCTCCTGCATTTCCCTTTTTACTTCCCAATTCAGCACTGCCCAGACCACTTCCCCTGACTGCGTAATGCTCGGGTAGCAACTACCATTCTGGTTTTGTAATTGTAGCTTTGAACGTCCCAGTGAGTGATTCCAGCTTAGGCTCCAGTCATATGAACCAGGAATAAAAACAGCTGGTTGTAGGACCAGCTTGAACAATGTGGTCTCCCAAGGAGACTTCATTTCCATTCTCCTCAGGCTGATTGTTTCTCTCACCAGGTGGTGGTTGCTTCTTGCACTACAGAAAACTGAAAATTTGATTCATGAGAAAAATATCCAAAATGTTTGCTACACCACTGTACCATAAAAGTCTACATCTCTCTCTGGGGATGTTTTTTCCTCTGTCTTTCTGAGCACAATCACCCACGTCTCTAAAATCTCTAACAGCCATGTAGAGCCACTTTAGCATTCACTGTTTTGGAGGAATGTGATAAGGAAGTATTTAGGGTAGATTCATTTCACTTGATCTACAACGTGAGATTTGTTAGACACACATCAGCTGTGTCACTCTTTGGACCAGAATTTTTCCTTTTGTCCATTGACTACAAAGCCAGTTTACCAGGTCAGCACAGAGCAAGAGGGTGAGCAGGTCAAAATCTAATTTAAAGCAAGAATAATCTCCCTGTGTGACACTAGATAGGCAAGCAGTTACTGCTTCATAACACCTTTACAATTGCAGCCACAAATATCTTAATTAAAAACCCATGAATGTAAATACCATGTCCATGACCTGGGGAAACCCAGAATCTGTTAGCCACTTTCTAGGTAAGCATCAGAGCATCTGACTCAAAATGCTTGTTGCAAAACACGTGTGAGCTAAACTCAGCTCCAGAAAGAAACTGCAATGACCTGGAAAGATGTTCACCTTCCTACCACAGCTGTGTATGAGTGACTGGTTGATGAGATGTGTTGTACTGATTGTGCTATGAGACAGAGGCATCTTGCAGATCTTCTTGGACAACTGCATCACTCTATCCTGGCTTGCTGTCACCTAGAAAAGGCTGGGCCATTGAAATGGCTCTCATGGCATCTGCTAAATTAGTTATTTTGGATTGAAAAAAATGCAGCAGAACCAATGTGACTCAGTTTACCAAAAAGCCTGCATTGTACTTGCCTTTTATTTCCATCACACACTGGAGGTATACGAGAAGCGGCTGGTGAGCCAAATCAAACAGGTATCTGCTGAGTTTATGCCTCAGTTTTTCCCTTAGAGGGACACAAACCCTGGCCTCTCACCTACTGAGCTGCCAGGTTTTTACAGTGGTTGGAGGAGCTGAAAGTTGTCCAGCCATTTCCTCCTCTGTTGTGCTTGGTTAAAATGGGTCATTGAGTTACTGCAGTGTTTTTCAGTGAGGAGCAGCCACAGAGACTGGCAGATACATGGAGCAACAGACAGAGCAATGGCACACACCTTTTTTAGGAAGAGGTGCTGAAGAACAACATACTAACACCCCTTCACCTCCCAGCCCTTTTTCTTTTTCTTGCTAATTCTGAAAGTTGAAATTTTTCCTTTTGGGAGAATTTCAGTCAGGTCCAGAATCACTCATAAAATGGAGGAATTGTTCCAACAATGACCCTGAAAGGCTTCCTAATTGTAAAAGGAAATCCAGGAACAAAACCTGGCCAGCTCTAACCAGGATGGTTCCCACTGTGCTCTTGTGGGCAGTTCAGCAGAGAAGCCTGGGTCTCCATCACTCTCAGCCTCTACACTTACAGTCAGGAATCTGCATAAAGGGAGTCACTTCCACACTTTCACAAGGTAATGAGCAACCAGGAGCCAGGACCAAAACCAAGCAGGCCTTGGGCTCTTGCTCATCTCCAACTAAATAACTTAGCACAAACATAAACACCTCCAGAGCTTATTTGGTGGGAGTAAGGGAAGTGATGGTAAAATCCTTGGGCACCAGATTCGGTCAGGCTTGTGGTGAAGACGGACTTGAAAAACTTGGCAACATATTTAGGTGGAAACTTGTGCAGTTATTGACTGTTCCTTCGCTTTTCCTGGACAGGGGAAATATTTTCCATTGCTGCTATGTAAAGACTTAACTACCCAAAAACTATGGTTTCTTTGGGGAAAAAAAAATAAAATCACTGTATCTATCTACTGTAGATGTGATTTTTTAATAATACAGACAATTTTCTACTTTTTAGTTTGGTTTTATTAAACTGAGGCAAACCAGGAAATCTCATCTTTTCTTCCTCACTGGCTACCATGAAACTCATCCACGATTTACCTAGGATGCCCAAACTTGAGAGGTGGAATTTTAATTCCAGGCCTGCAGCAGGTCAAGAGCCAGGCTTATCTTTCAGCAGGGATTACCTATGGTTTATACTAGATTATTCCTGACATGTGGCTCATCATATTACAGGTTAAATGTTTAAAGCAGGGAGGAAAGCATGAGGCATAATGAATAACAGCTCTATAGCTCTGCTCCTTTTTCTCCAAAATAAATCTATACTGAGTTTAGGAGGTGTGTAGATTAAAAGACTGCCATGACAGGCTATCAACAACCTTACCACATCATATAACAAGAGTGAACTTTAAATCTACCATTTTGGCTACCTTTGAAACTTACTGAGAAGCCCAGTTCTAATATAAAATCTCCTAGTGGTTCACATCTGGGTTTTGTAATTGTCATCTGAAAAGAAATAGTGTTAGGAGTAATAAGTGAGTGACCATCTCACTGGACTCTTAGCACAGCCTTTTTCAGTAATGAAATTATATTGCATCTCTCCCAAATCAAGGCTGGAAAAAAGTTCCATGTTCAGCTTTTAAACTGTGTTTCCATAGCTGATTTATTTTGGTTCCTTTGCCCTTGCTTTTTCCCCCCACATTTTATTTACTATACCCTAAGCAGGGCTCTGATTTCCCCTCATCCTGCCATGATTACAGCTAGAGTCCTCTGCCAGGGATTCAAAACTTGGTGGACAATTTCCTCTGGGCTTATAAACTCACTGTTGTTCTCCTGCTGCTTTGAGGAGATGAAAAGCAAATCCATGAGCTGCCAAGAATCACACCCAGGCAGGGATGCAGTGCTGCAAGAGCTGGTCCCTGCTCAGTGTACAGGAGACAGACATGACCCTGGGATGAGTTCATGGGGTCACACCTTGACCCTGATGGAGACCCTTCATCTCCCTGTGCCCCTGTGAAGAGCAGAGAGGGATTAAACTGTAGGGCTGCAGTCCGTTTGCATGGAACAGAATGAACAGACCCGAGCCACAAATCACTCAATATTTTAACAGGCTCTGAGAGGTTTTTCTTCCTTGCTTTAACCCTTTGTGGGACCTCAGTGCCTGCTGGATATGGCTGGTGAGCAGTCCTTGAGCACAGGTGGCGATTCTTCCCCTTTTTCATACCAGTCAGTGCCCTGCATCCACGCTGAGGCAGGTGGCTGAGAAAACCCCTCTGGGCTATGTGTCAGTGCAAGTGAACTGTTGGGAGTAAATTGTGTATCAAAAGTAAATACAAACATCAGTCCTAACTGCAAACACATCACTGAGTGACTTTAGCTCTGTAGAAAATCCCAGTGTAACTGGTCGCAGAGTCAGGTTTTGAGCACGAGCTGAGGGTTACACTGGAGTTGGTGGGATTGTGTGTGCGAGCGAACGGTGCCAAACAGGAGCTGGGCAGTGGGCTCCCAAAGGGGGAGTGCCATGGTTTAGCAGATGCTATGAACAAAATTAACTCTACTGCAAGCAAAACCAGCACGATGAGACACAGCTGGGGATTGCAGTCAGCACCAGTGCCCATCCCGCGTCCATAGGTGGTATTTGAGTGCTCTCTAGTGGACAGAAAGCGGATACAGAGGCGAACGAAACTGATGTGCTGTCCCTAAGTCACCCTCAGCTGAGTGTCTGAGGCATTGGGTCTGTAATACCCACACACCATGGGCCTGTACTGAGTGTCTGGGAGCAGGATTTGCAAGGGGCACTTGCAGCCAGCTCTCCCTGATCTGTGACGCTTCATGGCAGAGGTTTGATGAGAGAGCAGAGCAGGGGATGCCCACCTCACCTGGTAAGAGCTGACTCAAGCACAGGAACCACCTCAACCCCTTTACACTATTTTTCCTTGCTTTTCCTTGTGTTGAAGGAAACACCAGCGGTTCCTGCTCCTGTGTGTAGTCAGCAGTCAGAAGAGCAGAGGTACTGTGGAAGGAGAATAGAAACACTGGTCATGGAAGGGAAGAAAGAAGTGGGGAAAAAATTATATGAACTCATTTCCCAGCTGCTGCTGAGCCTCCAGGAGCCCTTTGCTCTGAGAGCCCTGCCAGTGCTGGATTTAGTAGCTCTGAGGGAAAATATTCTTTGTTTCACAAAGTGATAAGCAACTGAGTAAAGTGGAAACCTAGACTATGTCATTGTAAAAACAAGATTATCAAGGAAGTCAGCTCAGGACACAAGCCATAAAACAGTTATGTAGTAGGTACTCCCAGACCAGCAGAACCATACTGCTGAACCCAAATGTTCAAAAGGTGTCCCAAAATCATGGCATTCATAAGGATATTGTATTGCAGTTGGGATTTACTTATAGTAGGTATCTGAGTTTTGAGTTCTAAGAATAACTCATTTTTCTTTTGCTTCTGTGAAATGACAGCTAAAAGATTTTTTTATGATGGTGATAGTAAAACCAGAAACAGCCACTTGACTCATGAAACAGCAACACCTCTAGTTAAAGAGGCTATATGCATCTTCCCACAAACTGTTTGTTTAAAACCTGACTTCTCCATTACCTCTGTGTTGGGGGGGATATTATTTAGCCTTCCTGGATTATACCATTTTTCAGTATGAGTTCCTCCTTCCCAATGCTCAGACATCTTGAAGACAAAAAAACCTCCTTCAACATCCTATTGAGCCTAGTTACTTGTCTCCCACTCATTCTTTTCCTTCAATTTCTAAAAGCTTTTGACTGAAATCACTTACCTTTTCTTTGAATATATTCTCTCACTTGGAGCAGTCATCTTTGGCCTTGCCTCATTTATGCAGAAACCACAGAGGTCTAGTACAGTGCCACACATAACCTGCAGTAAAAGAACATGCATTTGTATTTAGGCAGTTATTCTATGCAAATGAATTAATAGTTTTACTACAGAGGCTATGCATAACTTAGGCTAGTAAATACAGACTGCATGAATATGCTGATTGAATTTGCTGAGGGTGTGGAAAGAAAGGGGGGAAAAAAAACAGAAAAAGAGTGGATAAAAGTAAGTCAAGCAACGTACCATAGCAGTCAGTACTGCAGAGCTAAGAGGCAAGGGAAAAAGACATAAATCCCAAAGAAAATAGTCCTGAAACTTCAGAGAGTTTCTTTGTCTTTCCT